GCCAGAATTGAAGCAAAGTTAATTCTGTCTTTATAAATAACTTTTTATGCTGGTGGTTTTTTGTGAATCTTTCAATATTTAATTAAATCACACAGTTTCTGGATCTTTCTTTTAAATATGTTTTACTTACGTATTTATCATTTTAAAACTTTTTTGTAAGTAGCTATAAATCATTGAAAAACTAAAGAGAAGAATGGTTTTAGTTTTACAGTGTAGCTAAGATATTTTCTAACATCTAAGAAAAAGACCTCAGAGTTGCTTATTCAATATCAAGAGTTATCATTACCATGGATATCTCACATTATTATAAAAGAGGGATTTGGTATTGGGATGTTGTTAACTAAGTCTGAGCTCTTCATTTTCTGAAAGGAGTAGAGCACCTTTTGCTGAGGTGAACCTGAATGTTGTCAGACAGCTGCAGATCTCCCAGGTAACATTTCCTCAAGTGGAGTTTTTAAGAATGACTAAAATTTGTTCTCCCCCCAAGCAGGGTGTTTACTTTCTGTGTCCAGTGTTCTCCAGATAATGTGCAGTGCTGCACTTACCTTTAGAATCAAGAAACTTCCTTGAGCATTGCTTTAACCCGTGGGCTTTATTGATTTGAGATGCAAAAAAACATTGTATGGCAAAACTTGGTTATTATAACCAGATCTAAACAAGAAAGACTAACATCAGTTTTGACAACAAACAAAACCAGTTTTTGTTCTATCGGTTCTGTTTAAGAGATTCCAATTTCAAACCAAACACAACTTGTGGTTATTCTGTCAGATATTTATACAGCCACTGGGGCGCCATAGTTATGCACCGCATACATCATTGTATTTTTAAAATGTACTTAATGAACATTTTTTCTTTTCTGGTAACTACTTCATTGCCTTAAATGAATGCATTCCAATAGAATTTGTAACAAATGAGCACTTTGTGTTTGCATTAATGCCAAACACGTTTAACAAATTTTTAACAAGGAACACTGGCAAAAAGCCAAACTCCTAGAGGGACACTGAAGGAATGCTATAAATTTAAACTAGATTTTACCTTTTCACTCTGCTCAACAAGTGTCTTAGGTGTCTTTGGCATCTCAGCATTGAAAATTTTCTACGTAGGTTGGATACAAATTTATGCCTTAATTATTTTTCTTCTTGGCCCTCCTCACTAGAGATTTCCATGTCGATATAACAGGCTTTAACAGGTTACTGTATTCTTTAGAGAGTGAGAGGTGGGTTTTCTTTCTTTCCTCAAGAGTTAGGCCAGGAGGAAGTAGCAAAGCCAGCATTTATTGTTGGGCTGTGATGACAGGGAGGTTCAAACAGCACATGTCGTGCCATTGTCACATCCTGTGTTAAGGGACCTCTGCAGTGGGAGCCCTGCAGCAGATCTGTGCTACCCAATTTTGCTGCTTGTGCTGAGTTGCAAATATCTGGGCTGTGATCGTGTTTGCAACTGCACTTCAGGGGCAGGGGAAGCAGCCCACAGGGCTCCCCCTGGCCCCAGCCCTGAGCTCACACAGAAGCCACGAACAGATTTTTGGCTGAATCAAACTTCTGGGGGGTTTTTCAGTTGTTAAGTTATGCCCACATGGTACATGTCAGTAAAGACCTTGGGAATCACCTACTCTGTAATACATGTTCATATTAAAAGTGTTACAAGTAGCTCCACAAACCACATGCTTGCTCTTTACTTGTAACTTAATATATTAATTTAATTTTTACTGTGTTATTTCAGTTTTAATCAAATGCAGGACCTGAAAAATAATAATACTTAGCACTCATCCAAGACTTTTTAGGCACATTACAAACATTAAGCCTTGCAAATTCCTGTGAGGAGCCTGATGTTATGCCTGCTGTAGCAAAGAGCAAATTAAGCAGAGAAAAATGATATGACTTTTTCCTTAGTTCCACAATAGACTGGCAGCAGGGGCAGAATTTAGAGTGTCAGGGCTTTTTCTTAGTTAATAGAGTCATTCTTTTCATGGTTTTACACAAAGGTAAAAATTGAGAATGCTTTTTTTTTTTCCTCCCTCCTATAATTTACATGATGTTGTTGCAAGAGGCATAGGCAAATTCCAGAACATCACTTGAGAAGACTTGATGAGTTATAGCCTTATTCCTGCCTAGTTACTTGTTTCCAGAAAATGAAATAATTTCCCATCATTTGTTGGTGCTCTGATTGCAGTAATGATGAATGAGTCTGGAGAAGGAAACTGAGGAATTCATCCTGACAGCTTTTTCAAGGATGTCACATTATAGTGCAGAGGCCTTGTTGTAGATTAGGGAACAGAAATAGCCCTCACAGGTTTTCATTAATGATATCCTTCCCTACTAACATTTGGTCAGATACCAGTTCCCTGCAATAAAGTGTCTACTCCCTCTCTTTCTTACTCACTAATTACCATATCAGTTGTTGGCCTTTTATGTAGGTACCATGTGTAACAGGTTAGGAGAGGGCAATTTAAGCCTATGTGAATGGGTATCTGTTTTTGTATCTGGGTGCTTGTTGCAAACATTTGGAAAGCATATGGAGCATAATGGACATTAACCCAGATGTCAAAAATAGCCTGCATTTTACTACTGTTATTAAACAGTTTCCCCTTTAACCCCTTTGTGTTTACCCACCCTCTCCAGCTTGTTTCTGCAAATCACTGCTGAGAGGAAAGGATTGGAGGTAAAAAGTACTAATCAGGCAGGTGTCTTTATCCAAAGGAAAAACAATCTGAGCAAATATTTGTGGGCTACTACACTTTTATATCTTCACATCCTTCTGCTGTTTTCATTGACTGGTATCTAATGGACTGACAGAGGTGCCAAACTCATAAGACATTAATTTCAGCTGGAGCACTGCTGAATTGCATGCAATTGCCCAATGCATGTTACCAAACTTTATTTCTGTTTTAGAGGTTCAGTGACTTTTACCAAGTGCAGCATTGAAGAAACAAATATAAATTTAATTTACTCAACCTCAGTTGGTATTTGACAGCAATATCCTTTTATATATTTATTTGACTTACTTGAGAAATACTTTGCATTTCCTACCTGTGGCCAACAAGTTTTTGTTACACTTCCAATACATATATGGTTTCCTGATGAATGGGTGGGTTGATTAAGTGGGTGAGGTTTATTTGGGGCTTTCATTTTGTAGTTAAACCCCAATGAAAATCTGAGGAGAAGGCTGGAGAGGGACTGCATTTTGTGCTTTGCTGCTGTTCCTTAGACTGGACACTTTATTCTGGGTTCTTATTTTTTCCAAGCATAAAAGTGTTAATTGCAGAGGAATTTCAGCTTGGAAAATAGCAACTACATTGAAGATTTGCTGTGATTACATTTTAGTTTAAAAACCTAGGCATTATTGTGCTGCAGTTTCTGGAATGTGCTCTCCTCATTAATTTATAGGTGTGCTTCCTCTGCCCCAGTATCTCTGTGAATGATGATTAAGAAATTCACAGCACACAAAAGAATGGGAGCTATGCACAGTTCACCAACGTAATGCATGCGCTCACTTACAGTTTTCATAAGAAGTTTGCAACGATTTTATGTGCCAGAACTAGTAACATGATCTACTTTAGGAACTCCCTGGCTTTCCAGCTCTGCAGAAGTCATTTTTAGACTGTTCAAGGGCCAGATCCAAAACTTGTTAAAATCGGTGGGAACCTTTCCATATTTCAGTGGGCTTTGGATTAGTCCCTGAGTGTTCTGACCAGAAGAATTGTACCAACTGCTCACTGCAAAAGTAAAATTCATCTACATTTGTAAGACTTAAGCTGTTATGTGTGCTTTCCAGCAAGATGGGAAGTTGAAAATAGGGATTTAAAATAATATGACAATTTATTCTGTAAACAGTGTTTCACTTTACTCACAGAATAATTTATCTGATAAATATTAGATTCTGAAATTACTAAGGAGAATTTTAGTCAAGTAGCTCTATTTGAAAAAACCCAACTTTTCAGCTGTATACAAAACCCTAAGCATTGTATGGCAATTTCTCTTTCATAAAATGGGATGTTTTGGAAACTTTTAAGGTTACATAAATGGAAGGGCAATAATGGAGAATCCCATACATAATGCATTTCAAATTTTCTAGAAAAAAAATCAGTGAATAAATTAACAATTGCCCTCTAAAGGAATCATTTGAATCCTCCCACTCAACTGATATACAGATAATGTGAATGAGACAATTCACTGCTCTCTGTTCAAGCATACCCTGCTGTTTGCTTGCAGCACAGCTAAAGTAACAACAGAAATAAATCACTGGGCCTCTCTGTAGTCCCAATGAGACAGAGTCCCATCGAAAGCTGGTGGAAGGCAAGAAGATTGTTCCCCCTGGCTGAGCTGTGCTGACACCAGCTCCCTCCTGCAGCCCCCTGGCTTTCAGCAGTGCCAGCCCAGCCAGGCAGAGCACCTGGGATTGTAGCTATGTGGCTGAAAACCTCCTAACACATTGCTGTGTGTTCCAACTTCTGCAAATCTGAGCTTCTTATGGACACCATAAAACCTTTCTCCACTGTTCTGCAAATTAAAGTGAGATCAAAGGGCTTAAAATATGACAGGAAAATGGTGCTTCAGTTTTGGAGGGCTGGCAGAGGTGCTGCACATTCCCACCTGCCACAGAACTGTGTGGAAATAAACCCATGATTCCCTTGGTTCCCACAGAAAAATATTTAATTTAATTTAATTAATAGCATTTCCCTTTCAAAGCTACTGTGCTTATAGACAAGATCATAAAACTCACTGTTTACGGAATCACAAGCACAACAGAATTTGACATCTTAGGAATGTAGAATATTTCCCATGTAGAGAGAGTCGTGTCATACAAATTAGCAATAAAACTAATTGCCAGCCTATGAACATAATTGGGTTCAAATTGAATTTAAATGCCTTACTTAATCCTCAGCCCCTAGAAAAGCATTATCTCCACTTATATGTATGAGAATCTTGATTAGATGAGAACTAAGATGCTCTGGATGCTTCAGTCATGTTGTTAATTGGATTTTTTCCCCCTTGTTACAGTTGTCAGAGGAACTAGAGAAAAAGGAAGAAAAAACTGTGGCACTGGAAGGTAACAATGATAATCTATTGCATTGGATCTCCAAACATGACCATGATATCCTGGAGAAGATCACAGATGCAGAAAATGAATGCTGCGGTTGATATCTAATGAAATGCTGCATTAATTAGCATTTTCTCCATTATTTCTTGTAGTCTATTGTGAAATTAGATACTTTGGAAAGTAATGAAGGAGACTCAAGCAGAAATTATAACAGCTTCATTTCTGTCTTTAATGGGTCTTGTGAGTTAATCTGTTTTTACAAAGAAACCATCTGTTCAGAATATAGTTGTTTCATGAAGTTCAGTTAAACAGGTTATTTAGCAAATTTTTGGTAAATTAATATTGATTTCAATAGATAATTCAGATTCCCTAAATGTGGCATCTGCATTTGCTGATTTTACCTAGTCTATTCTAAAGTATCACTTCTATTGCACTAGATTATCAAAGAGGTATTAGTAAAATGCTATATAAGGGTGTTGGCATTAACTTTACCCCCAGTTAGATACAGGCTTTTCCAAAAAATAAAAACAAGCCTTTACCCTCCTCTGTTTTCTTTTCTCTACTGATAAAATAATATAAATTAAAAACAAATCAAAACCAAATATTGATACTATAACCGGTATTAAGCTCTGGGCCAGGTTGGAAATGAAATCAATTTTTGGTACTAATAACTGATGACAAAGCTTAGTTTTATGAAAATATGGTGTGTGTCTCTGACAATGCATAGGACATCTAATTTGAACATAAATTTATGATTATATACAAGATGTATCTATTCCTGGATGGTAAAAGCTTGAGGTGTATATAAATAAATGTGTGTGTGTATATATGGACATGTACACAAGGATGTATCAACCTCTTACCATCCAAATGCATACATGTTTTCAACAATAAAAGCTGGGACTCTTAAAGAAACAAACAAAAACAAAAATAAAGATAAGATTGCTGTGAATACAGTATATGCACTAGGTCTCCTGTAAATGTGGAACTGTTTGTTATTGTTCTCTGCATTGAAAAACAGTCTCCAACACAGACCCCAATGAATCTTAAATGTTAAAGAAAATACCAATGAACAAACAGCACTTGAAGGCTGTTTGTGTCAACAAAATGTGTCTAGTTAAATAAATTCAAAGCACATGCAAGGAAAAATAAAAATGTGAAGTCGTTCCATTCAGTGAGAAAATCTTAACTGGCAGTCAGATCTCTCTCTTCTCAAGGAGAGGTTCCTTCTGACTCCACAAACATTTTCAGTCAGTCTGGCAAACATGTGCAAATGTTTGGCTGTTTTGTTGAGGCATCTTTTTGTCCATGGAAGAAATGCTTCCATGCTGATGGCAGTGGAAATAGAATATCTGCATTTTTAAAGGACAAACAATAAATTTAAGCATGGGTGGCCTTAATCCTTAGTAGTTTTTCTTTGCTGCTGTTAAAAAAAAAAAAATAAAAAAAAAAGAAAAAAAAGAAATCTAAATGGATACTCCTGAAGTCTTGCACTGAATTTAGAAAAATTATTTTTTGAACCTGTGGTGCGATTAACCCTAAACATCCTACATGAGCCATACATAGTAATCCCCTTAAAATTATTGTCTAGAAATGATATTTTATTTATTTGTACCATGATTCTCGGTGCAATCAAGGAGCAATTTATTTGAGCAGGAGTCCTGCTGGATGTGACTGTCTTCAGTAAGTAGAATAAAATGTATAGAATTAGCATAGCATAGATAATCCCAATTTCATTCATGTTTAAACAGTTTGTCCTTTAACTATCAACGGCATTTTAGATCTTTGTTTTTGAAACAGCAAAGCTTTTGGGAGTATATTTAGCACATATGACAAATGTTGCACTTGGAAACTCAGACAACAAAACAGGTTTCTGATGACAGATTTGTTGTCGCAGTAGGGGACAATCGTCTGTGTCTCTTACAATCAGGTCTTTACCTTAACTCTGCAACCGAATACTTGAAGTAGGATATAAACTAGGGGGGAAATAGGGTCACAGATACAAAGCTGTATAGTTAGATATTTATATGTATGTGCCAATTTTGTCACAGATATTATTTTAGGGGCATTTTTGCTCCACTCATGTTGGTATGAGTATTGATCTAAACTTTTATCAGGGCCTGAAAATTAGCCCCTAAAGAGGAAAATTTTGTCTAACATTGATTTTTTTTCTTATTGCTTTGTTTTTGTTTTGTTTTTTTTCCTCCTTCTTTTCATTTCATGTGATATTCTATAATGTTTGGAGAAAATCTTTTCATATCCTAAAATAGAATCTCGGGGTTTACAATAAACACTGTGATGTTGGGAAATATTTTATTTGAGCAATGTTTGGTAGATTTTTTCCCCCCCCCCCTCCTCTGAGTGTAATGAAGCAAAATAACTTTTGCTTAACATTTAAGATAATGGTTATTATTTTAATGTGAGATCAGTCTTGTACTGCACATTCTTTCTTTCATTTAAATGTACAGTATGAATTTTGTATTTAATGAATTTTGTGTATCCAGTATGCACGTACCTGCACATTGACTTTCATTTGAAAGTGGGTTTCAATTTCCTTTTTAAACAGTGTTTATGAAAAGACCTCAGATGTGTTGACACAAACTATATCCGCAATGTTTCTTTTGTGTGTGTAGGGTGACGTTTGAATGTGATGTTCTGCAGCAATGGGTCAGTATCCCCTATTTACCTTAGATCCTCATTTGATAGTGCTTCTTGTAATAATTTTTTCAAGTGAGTGGCATGTTCTGGATTGTGATATTGATATATGGTTAAGGACATTGATATGAAACTAAGGAATTCCTAGAAATTACCAGTGGGCATGTATTAGACAGTCATTGTAATTTAATGTCTTGTAGAAGTGTAAAGTACCAAGGTATTTAGAGTTCATAACATTGTTATCATGTGTATGGGAAGTATTTAGTGTTGATCAGCTTGTTTATTTTCATCAAATAAACTTTGTTTCTTTCTGAAATCAGTGTTGTGTCATTAAAAGCAGGTTTAATGACTGTAGGAAAATGTGTGAAAGATGTTTTCCACATGGTAAATCTATCACACTCCTTATTTCTCTAATTGCTACCATTCAAAGTAATTTATCTTCCTGTTGTTACTATCACATAAACTGTTTAAGAAAGCATAAAAAGGAAAATGTCTCATAGGCCCCACTCCCAGAAATGCTTACATGCAACTTTACTAAAGTGAGGAACCATTTTCTGGATGGGGCACTTACAGAGCAATATGCTTTTGAGTGGGTTTCTAAAACATAATATTCTTGTGTGACCCTGTGTAATTGCATAGAAAATTACATTTTGTTTATGTGCTTTACTGACCAAAAGCCATAAGGTGTGAAATTCTCTGCACAGTCAGCTCCTTTTTCAGCTGCCTGGTAAGTGGTTCCCCGTTTCCATTATGTTCACTTTTTTTAGAAAAGGAACTTTTGTTGACCAGGAATTTCTTACCTCATAGAAGTCCCTGGACCAGCTCAGGGCACACACAGCAGGAGAATAAAAGGTAAGTAAGTATGCATTTTACTTAGCTTATTTAAACCACACAGACTCTTAGTTTTAGGCTCTGTTTCTTTACCTATAAATTAGTTTTCTTTCGTAAGAGAGTACTATGCACTAATATAGGATATTAAGTTTCACTTTTAACTACAGCTAAATATACATTTATTGTGTATTCTATTTATGCCTACTTAGCTTTGAGCTGCAATGGTACAAATTGATTAGCAGTAGCTTCTATCTTCTTTCCAGACCTGATAAATTATTTGGTGCAGCCTGTTCTGTGTTCTGCTGGTGTATCAGGAGGCTGCCCATCCCATTGGAGACCTATTTTTGATTCTGTTTTCAATACTGATCACTTTAAAGGCAGCTCCTGCTTTCCCACCTGGTGACAGGGACAGCACATGCCAATGTGTGTTACTGAGGAGCTGGAGGGGACCACAGTGGCTTTGGGGAAACTGTCAAAGGCCCTTACAGCCTATTTGCTGTAAGATGGTTTTCTGTAAGGATCTTTGCTCTGTAAAAAGCAGCTGTGAGGGCCCCAGGGGAGGGGCAGGACCAGCATATTTGTGTCTGTGGGTGCTGCAGAGGTGGGGAGCTCCCCAGAGGGCAACTCTGGGTGCAGGAACATCCACACTAATGTTGAAGTTTGAGTTCATACAGTCAAGAGCTCATCCAGCTCCGAGAGAGCCTGATTAAGGATCAGGCTTTTCTGAGCTTGAGGTTTCCTCCTCAGAAAGGCTATTTGTTCACTTGAGCCAGAGTAGCCCCAGGTTTGAGCAAGCTGAAGTATAAGCAGTGGGGGATGCTCAGGGGATGGAGCTGTGTCAGCTTGCATTTCAAGCCAACATCTCAGTTAAGACACATTTTGAGAGTCCCAAAAGCTCCATCCCAGCACGAGTTGGACAAAGCTGAACTCCCACTGAATCTCAGGTTGTTCACACTGTGCTCAAGGTCCAGGATTTGTTCCTGGAAGAGCCTCACTCACCAGCACACTCTGGGTCTGCCCTGTGCAGAAACCTGTCAGGAAGTACAAAACAGAATGGCAAAGCAGGGCGTGTCACCTGTTGATATTCCCTGTCCAAACCATGAAACTTTTAATAACCAAAGTATTAAATCATTCTAAATAAAGCCAAGTGAGCTCTAAATAAGTAATGCATTTCCCATTATGAAGCCAGTGGGAGCTCTGCACGTCACCAGGGCATGATTTGACCCTGACAGATGAAAAGTACAGCTGATGAGGGGCTGCTGTGCAGACTTTCCTCCTGTGAGATTTCTGTGATGTTATTTCAGGCTCATAAGTTTCCAAATAAGATATCTCTTTTTCAAATGCACCTTTTCAAACAAGAGGCAACCTCTGCCTTCATGAGGAATTGCCCAGGGCACATTGTTTTAGCTTTTGCATGAGGCTGCAGGCACTGGTGCACTAGAAGCCCACCCTTGACGGATGCAGTTGCAGAATCAAGGACTAATTATTTGTTTGGGTTTGCATTCCTTCCACTCTTTGCTCTCGAAAGTGACTCTTTCTTCAGAATGAGACAGTTCCAACCCCAAGTCTCCACAGATGCAGGGGAAGAGCAGGCACAATGCCAGTGCATCCTAAAGACAATGTCTTGTATCCCTTTGAATCGTGCACTGGAGTCTGTTACAGACAGTTGTCTATTCCCACGAAGCTCTGAGTCTCAGGACTAGCAGGAGAACTTTGGACTCATGCAGTTTGAAATGGAGGCCAGTGTCCAGCTTCCAAAGGGCTGTGCTTTTGGTGCTCACCCCAGCAAGGCCAGGAGACAGCAGATGTTCTGGCAGCTGCAGCTGCCGTGCACTCGGGGAGCTGGGGCTGGAGGAGAGCAGCCAAGCTCCCTCCAGATGGAGCAGACGGGGAAGAGGCGAGTGGGAGGCTGCTCAAGGAAGTCAGATAGCTCCAGATAGCCCTGCACTGATGATATGTGGCTCCAGAGCACCTCACCAGCTTGGCAGAGGCAGCACAAGGGAAATCAGCACCGATGCACAGCTAACCTGGGCTCAGTGAGAAGCCTTCTTGCCGTGGGAAAATCGATAGGGAGGAAATATCTGTGCAGAGCACATGATAATGGAGCTTGGTAACTGCTTTTTATTTGAATGTAATTTGGACAAATGCATTACTCATAAGTGAGCTATCCAGGGCTTGCCAAATATGTGGTTAAACAGTTATTATAGCAAATTACACCATCATCTAAACACCTCTGTTTTGGCTCTTAGTTGTCTCCTTTTGCAATAAAGTTGAATTTTTTCTCTTGATTGTTGTCTAATATTGCTGCTTTACTGTTTTGGTTACCATAGAAATAAATAATGACACAAACAACAACAAGTGAATAAGAGCATTTTCTGAATTAGAACACCCTTGTTAATGAAGACCTCTATGGTTGCAAAGTTCTTAACATAGTTCTCATGTCTATTGATTCATGTCCTCATATGCATTTTATTATGGGCTTTATATTTCATTTTGAACTTCCAAAAATAAAGAAAAACAGCTGAAGTACTTTTTTTTTTAAATGGCCAGATTTTGGTTAGAGGTTAACACAGGCCAAAAGAGAACACAGATCTGCCCCCAAGCTCTTGCAGTTTTGTTTTGTTTTAATAAAAAATCCTTATTACAATCCATAAAGGGTCACAAAAATGCAGCCATTGCAGACCAGGCGTGTTCCTTGTGCAGCTCTCCTGCCCTCTGCACCTTCTCCAGGCTCAAGATCAACCAAATGTGTGAGGGCAGGACTGTTGTCAGTCATGATAAGTGTGTGCATTAAGGGGCTAATCCAAACTTTACTAAAGTGAAATGAAAGTCCATTGATTAAAAGTAAATTTCGGATTGTAACTCATTTTCTTCTTTCTGAAGCAAATGTGTACATTTACAGGAGCATGGGGCCAAACTGTTTCCTCTATAGATCAAAATTCCAGCTAAATGTAAGTCAGCTGAACAGACTGCCTGAATTTTTGAATGCTTTGTGATAAGAAAATATATCTTGGATCTCATCACTGAAGTTCATTTACAGTGTATTTTGTCTATAGTTGTCTTGTCTGTGTATCTGGGCCAGCACTCAACTCCTACCAACTCTTAACACAATCTTTCCTTGTGGTGTCTTAACATTATGATCACTTATCTCATTGAATTTGTTTCAATTTAACAAATATCATTCAGTCCATTGGTTACTTTGCTATTGCTAAAGGTAGGTCTGCTATTCAGTAGAGGAGTAAAAAGCATTTTTTAAGAGTCTGTTTTCTAAAACAAATTAAATTCTGAGCAATCTTCAGGAGAAAGAAGAGGCAACCCCCCCTCCATAATTATTAACTCCCAGGACTGTCCATGTAGTTTCTAGAGGATTTGTTCCAATTCTGATGCCTTTCACCATGTCAGAGTTGTTCTCTCTGAAGTTAAACACCCAGCCTGCATATCTGAAAGCTGGAGGTTGTAAATCTCCCCTGTGAATGTTGCCCATGACAGGGAAGGAAAGACTTGCATAATTACCACTTGTACTTCCTCAGAGAACATGAGCTCAAGTCTAAAGCAAGGAGTTTGGTCAATAAAACATCAGAGTCTGAAAACTACAGGAAAAGACCTGTCCAGCTCATATGATAAGAATTTTTTTCTTGGTTAAAAGAAAATTAATATTTCAGAGGAAGCCTCTTCCTCAGACCTGATTGTTTTTCAGATATTTTTAATTTTTCTTCAAGGTTACCACCAGTTAATGCAATTCATAGCTAAATTAACTGAAATATCTTACAACCTTCCTTCTCTGTGAAGCATAGCAGATTGGATATAGTTATTCTGCTAAAATACAGAGAGCCATTTCCTAAGCTGCTATAAATGTTACTATATTCAGCAGTGTCTGTGAAGCAGGTTACAAGTTTGAAATCAGGAAGCAGGAGAGGCACCTTGTTCCCACGCTACTGAAGTCAGGAGGAATTACTCTGAGTCCTTCTCCAGTGAGTGAGGGATGTCAGTGCTTCGCATTTGGGGCTATAATTGGTCAGATAGCTTACAGAAGAATACAAGTACTCATGTGAGCAAATTTTTACAGGACTTAGAGCCTGAAATCAATTATAAATGCATTTGGGTTAATGTGAATGCTCGTGGTCAAACTGGTACCTCTTCTCAGCAATCCTTGTCCACATCTGTTCCCTACATAGGGAAAGGGAAGGATTTGGGTTAAAATGTTTATGCATTGCTGCTCTTCTCCACTGCTTTTTCTACTTCCTGCGCTGCTTTGCACATTTTTTAGCTCTAAATTCCCTCAGACAGAAGTTCCAGATGCAGCCTTGGACAAGTTCTTCATGAAGGAACCCTGTGATTGTTGAGCTGCTTTGCCATCTTCTCTGGGGGTGCACAGAGAGCTTGGCCTGAGGCAGGAGGCACCCAAGGTAAGACAGGCTAAACTGAAACACTGAAATTAAACTTCAGACTTGGATTACCCATGTGTCCTCTGCAGTGTGAAACACC